GGGGGGGGCGACGACTGACTCACGTGTTGATAGCCTCCGCCGCCGTTGTGATTCACGGGTTGCTCTCTCGCCGGCGGGGCGCGGGATACTCGGTTTCCTCTGGCGCACGCGAGTTAAGCCCGTCTTCTCATTTTCAGTAGTGAGTACGTGGCGCCCCAAACTAATTGGGCTCGGCGCCGCGTCATGCTCTGCCAGGCTCCGCCTCGGCAGGAAACGCTCTCGGTGCACGAGGCACTGCGATTTCAAATTTGTCTACCACCATCGTGTTTTATTTTATTTTTTCCTTGGGAGAAAAGGTGGTTTTAGACGAGTCTTAGCACGTCCTCAATTTCCTTCCTCCGGATCCTGTCTCTGGCTTGGCGTGCAGGCGCGCGCCTGGGTATGGAGTCGGAGTCTCGACTGTCGGTCCCCGAAGACTCGTCAACGGCGTGGAATTCCCCCCTCCCCTCCCCCCTCCTCCCGGGTCGCCGCCGAATTCCTCTAATTTGTTTGATTCCGGCCGCGGCTGCATGGCTGGCGCAGCGGGCGCCGGGCGGAACTGGTTTCTGTGCCGCCGTCCCGTCCGCGTCCTCCTGGACAGTTTGCAGCGGCGGCCAATTGGCACGGCGGTGGCCGCGGCGACTTTGCATCTCTGACGTACTCGTCGGTCTGTCTCCGGGCGTGTTGCGAGTACGAGTGTGTGATGTGTGTTCGCCGCGCCCCGCCGCCGCCTGGAGCCTTTCGAGTCGCTGACTCACCGCACTCCGGTGATGCCGCGCTACGGCCCCGGGGGGTGGGCGGGCCGATGTGGTTGTCGCCGTGCGGGCCGGGCGCCGCGACGCCGGCCGGTCTCTCGTCGTAGGGGCGGCCGCCGGGCCGTTAGTGAAAGTGCTTATTGTTCCTTGTTGCGCATGCCCGCTGATCCCCCTCCCCCGCCCCGCGCCCGCCGCACCCCCTCCACCCCTTCCTCCTTCGCTACCGGCGCCGGATGCCCATATTTGGACATGGCTGCTGGCGTGCGGCGGCCTCCCCTCCCCGCTCGCTCCCTCTCTCTCGCACCGCCGGCTCCGCGCCGTGCTGCTGCTGCGGCTCGGCTTGTGGTCGGTGCGAGGAGAAAGACCCCTCTATGCAGGGAGGGAACTCCCTCGCCCTCGCGGCGACGGGACGAGGCCTTCGTCCTCGAACGTGGGCCTCTTGTCGCCCGGCGTCGCGTCGTCGGCCACTACTGCAGTTTGAAAGCTTCCGGTCAGAAAATCTGTTCTTATTAGGCCCACGGCATAGCGGTGCACTTGTTCTCTCCGCGACACGGCTCGCTTGTCGCGGCCCAGATGGAAAAGGGTCCGTCGCCGAATCCTCCTCCTCAGCGTGTCCTTCCCCCCTTCCCTTTTCCGCTCCCCAACTCCTTTTAGTGGAAGGGGCCGCTACCGCCGTGCTTCAGAACGGACCCTCCCTGGCACGGCGTGTGATTGAGGGTCCCGTTCTTGTTGGATCGTTTAGGGACGCTCCCCTCCCCTCGCGGCGGCAGTTTGTGAATCAGTGGGTTGGCTGGGGAAATGAGGAGGGGGCTCGGCGGGCTCAAACTGAAAAAAGGACTCTAAGATGGGACCGTAACTGAAGTTTGTTGTCTGACATGTGATGAGAATTTACACTTGTTTAACCTGATTGTTCTTTCTGTTCTAGGCATCAGGTGTCACAGTATCAGACGTTTGTAAAACAACCTATGAAGAAATCAAGAAGGACAAGAAGCACCGCTATGTAGTCTTCTACATCAAGGATGAGAAGCAGATCGACGTTGAGGTTATTGGTGAGTAATTCAAGAAGCGTTATTGACTACATTTCATTGCCTCCCCAATTTTTATTTAAAATCATTTATCATATATTCCTGTTTGTTTTTTAGGTGACCGCAATGCTGCCTATGACCAGTTCCTAGAAGATTTACAGAAGGGAGGTGTTGGAGAATGCCGCTATGGCCTCTTCGATTTCGAATACACCCACCAATGTCAAGGAACCTCAGAGGTATAGATTTGACATTCCTGTGCTACTGTTTGCTATTCAGTTGTTTGTGACTCAACTTAACATATATATATTGTACTTTTATACTTTTATAGGCCTCCAAGAAGCAGAAGCTGTTCCTTATGTCCTGGTGCCCAGACACCGCCAAGGTCAAGAAGAAGATGTTGTACTCCTCCAGCTTCGATGCCCTCAAGAAGTCCCTTGTTGGAGTCCAGAAGTACATTCAGGTTAGTTTATGTTCTGAGCTTCCTTATCCAAATGGTATTTAGGTTTGCCGGTGATATAACTCTTTAATAATGTATGCTGTATGTTGCAGGCCACCGACCTGTCGGAAGCATCAGAGGAGGCTGTGGAGGAGAAGCTGCGTGCTACTGACAGGCAGTAACTCCCAAAAACGCCAAAAAGAAACCTGAAAACAATTTTTTTAATTATGCAAGTCTTAGATGACTCCATAACTCATTTTGGATATCATTTTTATATTGCAACTGAATGATAACTTCCATGTGGCTCTCCATTTCAATATTGTAAAGGTGTGACAAGCATTGAATATGCCTCACACCTGGAATGAGTGATCTGTGATTACCATTCTCTTATGAAGTGTTTTTAATATTCGGTTTTTCTAGTTTCTTAAATAAATTTAAGCAATTTAAGTATATGTCAGCTTATTGTTTTGCAAGTTCCTTTACAAAGCACAGCTTGGAAAATGAGCCTGTGACATGCTGATTGAGCACTAAGGCTGAAGGAAGCACAAGCTCAATTCTGACAGTATTAAATCCTGAAGTTTTTGGTTACTTCCTGTGTCTTATCTGCAGGCTTAGCTCCAGTGCTTGTCAAATTGGAACAAATCTTGGAGTCTTGCTTTGCACAATTTTATTGGGAGTAATCTGGTGTCAAACCCTCTTGTTTTGATTGCCCATTTACTCAACCGTATCAGGGATTTTGACATTTGGTGTTGTATCGGAGAGCATTTTAAGTGTAATTTATACAAATATGAAATGAGGTGTTCTTTTGAATTGACTGTGGAATCAGGTGAATGTAAGATAATAAAATATTTAATATGAAACACAATTTGGTATGTTGTTAATACACGGTATCTGAATACCATTCACTGTCCTTTAAATAGGAAGCGCAGCATACAAACATCCATGTGCTAATCTTCACTTAAATAGAGCAAATATGCACATCACAGGCACGGATTAAGGGGGGTGTCGTATCTAAAGAGCCGCCTGAAAGGTAGGCAATTTGTGACCCAGAACCCCTGTCTGTAGGCAACCGACAGTGCCCCCCCGTCAGCCGGACCTTAATCCGCGCCTGGCACATCTAGGATGTATTATTTAAGGCAAATACTTGAATCGCACTTGCGTTTGAGCTTTCTGAGACAAATGGAAGCCTCGCAGAAAGTAACCATTGAATTGAATGTCAGAACCAGACATAACTACCTGTCAGAAGAGGAAAGGGAAGTTTGTGATTAAGCAACTCAAACGTATGCATGCTCTTTAAAAATAAAACAATCTCGTTGAGTGAAAGGGATCAAGCCATGGATTTAAGAACGTAACTTGCTAGTTGAATGAAAGGGATCAAGCCGTGGATTTAAGAACATAACTTGCTAGGGTTTTGAACGTGTGGCGGTAGCATCGAATCCGGAAACAGATGAAAGTGCAGCGTGGAGCAGACTGTTCTGCTGACAAGTGGCATATGTTTGTGTACAATGTCGTCGGCTAAAGAGGCCAATTTAAGTGCGCTGTACGCCGAACTAAACAAATATGGACAAAATGGAGAGTATGAACGTGCGCTGAAGACAGCTAACAAAAGTGAGTCATTTTGAATCCAGACTTCATTGTTTCCTTCGGATATGCCGAATCATAACCTAACCTCTGCTCTTTCATTACAACTTTACAATATAATTTTTTCCTTTTAACAAGTCTCTGGTTCATCAATTACTTTTAACATTAAAACCGTTTTCTTTCACTCCCTCTATTGCGGCCCATTACATAATTTCTGATCAAGTACCATCGTTTGTTTGGTCACATATGGTGCATTCATGTAATAAAATATACACCGATGTTATGTCAATCAAAATAAAATGTTTTTAGACAGTCGTTTTCAGTGTGCCAGTGATAGTTTGATAACTTGAAGCTCCTTGAACAAACTATCCAGCCTCAGATGACCAGTTTCATTTTTTCACCTCCACTCCGGTCTATTAGTTCTTACCTTAAATAATCAATTGTCTGTTACAGTCCTTCAATTAAAAGTTGATGAGGAGAAAGCCTTCCATTGCAAAATTGTGAGCTTGATCCAACTATCCAAATTTAATGATGCTCTTGGTTTTATCAATAAAAACCCCAAGCTCTCTGGGTAAGTCTTTTCTCCATGTATTGTAAATTTCTAAATTGTTTTCTGGTCAACCATTTTATTTTCCTCTTTGTTTCATTATTACAATATATCATGTGTTTTACAGAGACCTAATATTTGAGAAGGCTTATTGTCAGTACCGCCTGAATCAACCACAAGAAGCTCTAAAGACCGTCAATACGGAACAGCAATTGAGTGTGAAACTAAAGGAACTGAAAGCTCAAATTCTTTATCGTCTTGAAAAGTAATAATTTATATAAGACTGAAACCTTTAAAATTTTCCATAGTGTTGAAGTTATTGACTAAATCCTAAATGTATTTAAACACAGGTATGAAGACTGCTTTGATGTGTACAGAGATATAATTAAAAATACAGAAGATGACTATGAGGATGAACGTGAAACTAACTTATCTGCTGTCATTGCTAATCTTTACATTGAGAGCTCTGTAAGTATTGCAGTATTTTCTCACACTTTAATTTTTCCACCTCCTAGTTTGAAGTTTAAAGGCAATGAACTAAAACCACATCTGACTGTCAAATGATTTAACTCTTCTCATCAGGAAAAGGAATTGCCAGCTCTTCGAGAGACCACATATGAATTGGTATACAATACTGCATGTCAGTTGATTGGAAAAAAGCAGTATATTGAAGCTGAAAAGAAATTAAGGCAGTCTGAAAAGATGTGCCGAGAAATGCTTGAAGAAGATGGGTCGTCAGAGGAAGACATTGAAGAGGAGCTGGCTATCATTAGGTAAGGTTTTGAGGTTCACAAGTTTTTATTCATTCAACCCACAGGCTTTTCATTAACTTTTTTTTTATTATTATTATTAGGGTACAGCTAGCCTATTGCCTACAATTGCAAGGTAGGGAGAAAGAAGCACAGGGAATATACACCACTGCTCTGAAAAGAAAGCCTGATGATGCGAGTTTGGTTGCAATTGCCAGCAACAACAGTGTAACAATTAACAAGGATCAAAATGTATTCGATTCCAAGAAAAAGATGAAGAGTGCATCCAGTGATGGCTTGGAGCATAAACTTACTTCTAGGCAGAGGAAAAATATTGCTCTGAATCAGTGTCTCATGCTGCTGTACACCAACCAAGTTAGTAACAAACAACATATTTTGACATTTGGTCAAAATTTTCCTACCTGGACTGCTTTTTAGAACTGAAATCTATACTTATTCCTCCACTTACATCTTCCTTCAATATTGCAGGGAGATCAGTGTCAAAAACTGTGCGAGCAAGTTTCTAAAATGTACCCAGATCTGGCTGATGATCTGTCTTTGGTTCGTGCAACTCAAATGGCTCGTGAGGGCCGTGCTAGAGATGCAGCAGCTCTCTTGGAGAAGGCTGCCGCTGCCTCGCCTTCACATGAACTGGAAATGAAGCTTGCATCTGTTCAGCTATTGCTTACTGATGTATGTAATTTATGCACCCGTACCTTATGATACTAAACTAAGGAGCTCTTCTTATAACTAACTGTTTTGTTTTGCAGGGCGATCGGAAAGAGGCATGTCGTATATTGAGGAATTTAGGAGATTCGACATTCAAGCCTGGCATAGTCAGTGCTCTAGTCACCCTGTACCTAGCTGACAACAATCGAGAGGGTGCATCAACTATTCTGAAAGATGCTGTTGATTGGTACAAGCGAAGCAAGGTGCGGCATTAATTATTCTTTTATCTTTCTATACCCTTCAATACTTAAAATAACACTACTTAAAAGTTGCCTTGTATTTGTTTTAGGATAAGGGTGACCTAAGATTACTTTGGCGCCAGGCAGCTGACCTTCATATGCGAAGTGGTGCACCAAACATTGCTGCACAGAGCCTAGAAGAACTCTTGAGGTTGAATCCCGATAGTAAGAAAACACTAGCACAACTTGTCATTGCTTATGCTCAAGTATGTTTCTTACAATATTTGGTTGCATTTAATTGTACATAGTTTTGTTGGAAATTTTAATTTTAATGTCCCTGTACCTTTTATCCCGGTTTGTTGCAGTTTGACCCAGCTAAAGCAACAGCCTTAAGTAAGAAATTGCCTGACTTGGATTGCCAAGGTCAGGATGTAGATGCTTTAGAATCTTCTAACTGGATAATGGGCACCAAGGTTATCAAAAAGGCCACCAAGGTGGAACCTTCGCCTGGATCCAAAGCAGGGTTGGTGTAGAGTTATTTCATGTGAATGCACAAAAATGCTAATGCAACTGCAACTTTCATTATTTTTCTTTTTTTTAGAACACCCGGAGACGAATTATTGCAGAAGAAACTTAAGAAGAAAAAGAAGAGGAAAGGAAAGCTTCCCAAACCTTATGAGTCAGGCGTATTACCAGACCCGAATCCAGACCGCTGGCTTCCCAAACACGAGCGCCCTGGATATCGCAAGAAGAAACAAGACCGCAGAAATAAAGATGCAGGCATTGGTAAAGGAACCCAGGGTGCAGCTACGGGTGCCAGTGACATGTAGTAAGTTTTCTTTTTTGCCTTGTTACATATAACTGAAATGATAGGGGGGGTCAATTTAGTAATGCCTAATATAATATCATTTTTTTTTTTCAGCGACATGTCCAAAGTACAAAATCAGTCGAAGGCTTCGCCTGCTGCATCTAGTCCTGCAGCAGAGCCAGGACCAAGGCAGCAACAGAGGAAAGTGACACAAAAAAATAAGAAGGGTAAGGGAAAACGATGATTTGATTCAATGTTTCAATGTTTATAAATCTTTTACACTTGTGTTGAACATTCTGGTTTTCTTGAAGAAGTTGAATACTGTGCTGCCTCAAAGTTTTCAATTGTGTTAAAATGGAGTAGCTTTACTTTAATGAATTCTTTATCTTAGTTTCATTATACCACAGATTTTAAAAAGTTCACAAATGTTATGATTTCACCTGTACTCTTGTGCCAGTAGCCTACTAAATGCTGATGGCGATTTAGATGAAATATTGATTGAACTTTGCCAAGTGCCTTGACTGCTGCAGGTATTTGTAAGGTTTGCTAGGTAGAAGAATTCACAATATCAGTAAATTTTGCATATTATCTTGCATTTGTACCTATGTCATATAATTGTGTTTCTATTATGTAAGCTCAATAAGCCAGACAATGATTCGGACAATTTTCGGTGTTTGCAATCTTTGTTGCAGATGATGTTTTTTTACATGGAAAATAGTTATATTTTCATGTTATTGTTGTGGAACAATACACTGAGAATGTTGTTTACAATGTTGTGGTTCCATTGTATTCTTAAAATATCTTACCCTACATGAGAAAATTAGTGAATAGGTGAAGGTCTGATTACAAAAATGTGTTGTGGTTTAGGCTGACACAAGTAATTGACTACACATTTAATTTTTGACTGCTTTGAGCAAGTCTTGCATTATATATTGACTAGAACACTGTTTCACACTTCAACACTTTTTCTATTTTCCATTGAAGACTCATTCATAAGTTCAGACTTACATATTTAGGAGTTTAAGATACTTAAAAAAACAAAAACACAATCACTTAAAACTGTACTTTTTTTCTTCATTGGCCTGAGACCTGAGACAAGCTGGGATAACAATTTAACATGTTGGGTAATTAAACTGGTATCCCTGGTCTTTTAAAAATTCTTCCTGGTTATCAATGCTTTACAAAATCCAGTCTTTACTCCCTAAGTATTTTTGGAAAACTGCTTGTGGCTTAGAAGAATACTAACAATGACTACTTAGATAAAAATTTGTAAAAACCATTTCCCTTTTACATCATCACAACCCTGCGACTAGAAATAACATTATTGCTCTACTTATATCACCAAACTTATTTAATACTACCTACTAAACTGAATTTTCTTTGGTTTTGAAATTTTAACATTTTTTTCCAATTTTGTAATCACAAACACGCTCATATACTAAGGCAGGGAAAAAACTTTGAGCCCGAAAGGCCTTTTTTGATTCACATGATTGCGACTTCCCCTTTCATTTCCCTCCACTGCATCACATCGAACTATAATTGAGAGAATTCACAGGGCAGTCCTGGCGTTATTGCTTAGCCTTACCTACCGGGCCTTTGGAATGTTATTTTTTTTTTTTCGAAAGCTTTTGCCCGACAAGACACACTTGAGGACGGTGTAAAACAGAAGACGGACCCTAGGACGAGGCTGTCGACGCGGAGGTGGAGGAGGACGCCGGCGCTGGGTGCTGCTGCTCGTCGAGGAGCCTGTCCTGGGCAGCCGCGGCCTCCTGACGCTGCTGCTGCTGTTGCTGGATGATCTTGGCGGCGGCGGACACGGCGGCACTCTGCGCCAGCCCGGGATTGCCCAGGAAGGCCTGGATGTCGAAGCCCGCGTGTCCGCCCACCGCGGCCATGGCCTGGACGGGCAGCGTGACGGCCGCGGCGCCGGCCTGCGCCTGCAGGAAGCCAATGAGGCGCCGCAGCTCCTCGAGGGCGTTGGCCTGGACAACATGGAAAGCGTGGGTAAGCATCAACTTTATTCTGTTGGACCGATGACACCCCCTAGTCATTCTTTGCGTGCCCGGCCCGGAGCCCCCGCACCGAGGCGCTGTAGGCGGGCCGCCGTCTTGGCACACCTGCTTGGCGGGTTTGCCTACCTTGCGCGCTGAAGGCGCTACCGTCAGCGTCGCCTCGTACAGCGGCTCTGTTGCGGGGGACACCCTTTACGCCCTTACGCACCTGCATGAGGATGAAGTTCTTGGCGAGCAGCAGCGTGGCGATCTTGGACAGCTTGCGCACCGAGGGCGAGTGGGCGTAGGGGATGACGGAGCGCAGCTCGTCCAGCGCGTCGTTGAGATCGTGCATGCGCCGCCGCTCGCGCGCGTTGATGTTGAGGCGCACCAGCTTGCCCTGGCGCGACTTGGACTTGCCCCCGGAGGCGCCGCCACCCGACGGGCCGGGGCCGTGCCGCTGCTGCGGCGACCTGCACAGGGGAGGCAGGGTTACAACTGGCTACTATCCCTCAAAAATAAATACATCGGTGTACACGCTCCAAAAATATCCTAAACAAATCAGAAAAATTCGAAGAAAAATCTATTAAAACAGAAAAAATATAAGAAAAAAAGAAAGAAAAATAAGGAAAATTGGTGAGAGTTTGAATTCATTGTGAAGTACCCCTCGGGTTACACTCTGGAGCTGCGCGAGCTGTGCGAGCTGTGCGAGCTGCACCGCACCTGCAGGCGGCCGCAACGCACCTGTTGGGATGGTGCTGGTCGGGTCGGTTCTCGTCCGACTTGGGCCCCGAGTCCGGCACGTCGAGCTGCATGTGGCAGCCGCCCACGTTGATGCCGAGGCCGCTGCCGCCACCGCCACCGCCGGGGGCCGAACCGCCGGCGCCGGCCGCGCCGCCCCCCGGGGGCGTCATCTGGTGGCCGCCGGGCGGGAAGTAGAAGCCACCGAGGCCCACGGCGCCGAGTGGGGTGCGGCGGCCCGGCACCTGGGGCATGACCCCCTCCGGGGAGCCGTGGCTCGAGCCGTGATGCGGCGGGGGCGCGTGGTGAGGATGGTGCGGGCCCTCAGGGTGGTGGAAGGGGAAGCCCCCTCCGGGAAGGTCCATCCCTGCGTGCGGAGCGGCGGAGCAGGGACTCTGCGGGGACCAAAACAGAGGTGTTAGAGAAGTGTGCCCAACCAATCCGTTGGCAACTCAAATTTTCATCAGTAAGAAACTTAAAGCGCATTCAACAGCACTGATACAACTGATACAGAAAATCAATTTTGTTCGACTTTGAGTTCATTTGAAGCTAGGACCGCGATCACTAATGAAAACATCTCCGGATATGGGTCTCCAACACCCCCGGCCGCCCACCCCCTCCCCACCCTCATCACCCACCCTCTCTCCCCGGCCTGCTCAGCGGCGAGCGTAGAATGAAACGGCTCCTAACCTCTCCGCGACACACTTAGCGCTCGCGCTGACAATTGCATTGAATACAAAACTGCAAATTTGTTCACCTTTGCAAAAAACCGTCTCCTATCTTGAGCTCTCACTTCTCGCGAGGTCCGCTCCGCAACGCCAGAAAGGCACCCGCCAGGTCGCCGACGATGCGTCGCCGACCGTCGCTGTTTGACGAAATTTCACAGAGTGATATTTTTCAGGTTCCCCCAAACTGGCTCTCAGTCCCCGAAACCGGCGCGTGCTAATCCAACCCCCCCGCCACCTCCCGGGCCGTTCTCGGTGCCCAGAGCATGCGTTGGGAAACGAGAGGAAAACGTCTGAAAATCACTTAATTTCCATTAAATATTACTCACCGCTTGTAAGCCGTCCGCAAACACGTATCTCGTCTGTATTTGGTTTCTCCTCCGCCAGGGAGATGCTGCTGCTGCTCCGGCTGCTGCGGCGGGGAGGCTAAGCGCAGCGCGACGCAGTTCAGCCTCCCCCCGCGAGATGGCGCCACGGGTCTCGTGGCGGCCTTCCCCTGCTGGACCGCCGCAGCGTGCCCATCCCCCCCCCTCCCCCCAGCATCCGGGCCGGGCCCGCACCAGCGCCCACCGCCCTCCCGGCAACCCTCGTAATACGAACACTCTCCCGGTAAGGTGCGATGATGCCTCGTGCACAATTGGGACCGACGCGACGTCAGATGCTGTGGTGCATGCGCGTTTGAAATGTTTTTTAGCAGATTGCGTTTTTAGCCCACCTCAGCTCGGGCTGGCGGGGCCCGGCAGGCGTCGGCGGCGCCCTCCACCACGCGTCACGGGGATTGATTGCGAACGATGAACGATTGAATTGAAATGGAAAATGAAAAAAGATCACTAAAGGGCCGAAAATGTCGAGAAAGTATACAAGTACAGTTCGTTCTGCTGCTGCTGGCTGTATCTCGAAAACTACCCCTGCGGTGATTTTTCTGTATGACGCTGTGCTCTTGTTGTTTTTTTTTTTTCATGTCCATTTGATAACATTGACAGGAAAGTATAATTACGAATTATCAGGCCCTGGCCATCGCGGCGTCGCGTCCCCCCTGCCATGAAAAAGGATTCGCTTATTAAAAACTATGCCGCCGGGCGAGTCTGATCTGCTTTGCACGCTGATAGAACGAGCGAGGGGCGGGGCGGG